TCCTGCTTTGAGCAGGGGGTTGGACTAGATGACCTCTTGAGGTCCCTTCCAACTCTGATATTCTATGATTCTATGATTCTATGATCTCACCTTACTGTGGATTTCTTGCTATTTCAGATTTCATTTTCAGTATTTTAAATCTGATCAAGGTTATTTTTGTCTCCCCTCTTTTTAAAAGAAAATTCTACCACTGGCTGCACGCAACTTCCATTTCAATCAATGGGTCACATTCCGGTTCATATTACACCAGTGTAAACTGAGTAAATCCATTGACTTTAAATGCTCTTACTCCAAATTTACACCAGCTTAACCAACAGAATTGACCCTTGGTTTTTAATCAGTCCTTGTTCACACCAAACTCATTGATTTCAGTGGGAATTCAGCCTGAGTAAAGAGATTTGGATTTGGACCCAGGATACAGACAAGTTTGGGGAAAGCAAAGGAGAGGAAATGGGGAGAGAAAATACTGAGAATTCAGAGGTGGGGCCAAGCAAAGGGAAAACTGCTAGACTTAACTTTAAATTGTATGTAGGCAGCAGGGAGTGGAGAAGGGGGGTCACATGTTCTCCATTACGCTGCTACAACTCCCACTGAAGTAGCTTTTCTGAACTGGAGGCTATATTAACTAGCATAGTAGTGTCACACTGGTGCAACTGAGAGAAGAAATCGGCCCCCAACAACATTAAAAACATTTGAATGTAAGCGCCAACTGCATTTGGCAGCTGCATGGAGCGAATGCCACAAGAGTGATTCCCACTGGATGTTTAAGTGTGCATAAGTTAATCATTCCTTCCAATTCAACATTATTTCTTCCTATTCCTTTCTCAGAAAGAGGGAAGCAAATAGTTTTTAGTCAGCAGATATACACTGACACGCACCCAGTATTTGCTGTCACCATGACCTACATGACACAATCAACTATAACAGAGGGCTTAGCACAGACACACATTCATGTCAAGAGACTTAGATGGGAAAGTAGAGCAGTTTTGTGCAGGAATCTTTTCCCAAGTGGTTGGATCATGGCCAAAACATGGTACAACACTAACGTAGACACTGAGTAATGATGCAGCTCAGCTGGCTTAACACGAATGGAAAGTGACCTCATTTGTTTGTCAGTCATTGGATTACATCATCAAAATTTAGCATGAATGAGAAATGGAAAATGACATTGCTAATAATGAGGGAAATATCTTCAGTGTATTTTACAGCTGAAGGAACAAGATCCTCAACTGGTGTATAACAGCATCAGGGCTGGCTCCAGGCACCAGCTTAACAAGCAGATGCTTGGGGCGGCCAAGGGAGAGGGGCGGCACCTGCGGCAATTCGGGGGCAGCAGGTCCCTCACTCCCTGTAGGAGCGAAGGACCTGCTGCTGAACTGCCGCCACCAATGGTGGCGCCCTCCTCCCCCAATTGCCCTGCCGATCGCGGCTTCTTCTTCTTCTTCTTTTTTTTTTGCTTGGGGCAGCAGAAATGCTGGAGCTGGCCCTGAACAGTATAGCTCTGTTAAAGTCAATAGAGATATGTTGATTTACAGCAGTTGAGGATATGGCACTAGGAGTTTCTGTTTTTTGCCCATAAATTAATAATCCTAGTTTAGATCAGCAAAATACAGATAAAATGGGGTTTACTTCATATTTTTACCATAAACTTACTGTAACAAACTGTAGATAACAAATGATTACTTTAACAGTCTTAAAAATGTCAGAAGTACTTCAGCAAATGGAGAGGGGTGTTACTTACGCAAATTCTAGTTTTCTGAGGTTTTTGATAGCAGGAATTTCATTAATATTGCAGCCAAATGCCTCTTCCATGCTAAATAAACCATTATAGAATAATTGTAGCTATTAGAAACAGTTTTTAATAGCTGTAAAAAAACCCATTGTTTCACAAAGAATACTAATTTGTGCACAGCCAGGTTATTTACTCTAAAGGTTTATTAGAAATAACATTTTCAAAACAAAGTATTGTTTGATCTTAACAGGAGGAAGAAAGTATAATATACCAGAAAAATTATTTTTAAAACTACAGTATAGACAGTCTACATGCATAAAGGCTTAGATAGGCCTATCTTACCCCAGACTGCATTGCTGCTAGGGACTGGGGCAGGGCCGGCTCCAGAGTTTTGGCCACCCCGAGCAGCCAAAAAAAAAAACAAAAAAGCCACGATCGCGATCTGCGGCGGCAATTTGGCGGGAGGTCCTTCGCTCCAAGGCGGAGTGAGGGACCATCCGCCGAATTGCTGCCGAATACCTGGACGTGCCGCCCCTCTCAGGAGCGGCCGCCCCAAGCACCTGCTTGACAAGCTGGTGCCTGGAGCCGGCCCTGGACTGGGGGCCCAGTGTGCTCTGCAGTCTCTGCCTCACTCTCTCCTGTCCTGTCTTTTTTGTCCACCCAAAGTTCTTAGTTCCAGTTTTTCTCACTTGGATCACTCTGGGGTTACAAAATAGGACATCAATCCCCCCGACTCCTCCAGGGCCAAGCCAGATGGTTGAGCTCAGCACAGCCAGAGGTAAAACTTCAAAGTGAATCACATCTGCCAGTGCCAGTAAGTTGGGGGCTATCTGGAGCCAATGTCCTCTTTCCTGCCTACGTGCAATAATCTCTGCTTGAATTAATCCCTGTAATCATATAACAAACAACAAACAGCTGGAACATACAACATTCACAAAATACAAGATCAGAACAGAGACTTCCAGTAACTGCTTTGATTGTGCATGCTTGAAATTGGATCGTCTGTAGGAGATCCAGCCTTTATTGCCGGAGATAAAAGACTGGCTCTCTTAGCTCACAGCCAATAGCAGACTCTAGCCACGACAGGGCAGAGCCGTACTGACAGTGTGGGATATATAATTGAAAGGGATTAGAAAATAAGGGATTTAAAAATTATAGGTAAAAGGCCTGAACTAGGAAAAAAACAAACAAACCCCAAGCTGCCAATTGTCTTCTTTGTGGGCATTTCACTACAGAGATTGAGTGGGACCCTCACCCCCCGCAAAATTATCACTACGTATAACAGCAGAAAAACATGGGTGGGACAACAGAGCATTTTCTGCATTTACTTGCTCAGAAATGTGTGGACAAACGGAGAACTTCACTCTCCTGGACTGTTACTAAACCAGGGCTTTTCAAAGCACTGAAGTGTAAATAGGTCATTAATTCTGATAGGATCTTACCAGTGGACCATTTTCTCTTGTATCCGTACAAGGTCAGAAAGGTCACGGATGTCCTTCATAGTTTCTGCCTTAAAGGGATCAATATCAAATTTCTCAACTGAAATCTTCAGCAGCTCATATTCCTTTGTTTGCTCTAAGGACTCCCACAGCCTGACTGTATCACTAAGGGAGGCCCTGTAAAGTGTCAAAACACAAGTTTATTGAGTCCCTGCCCTTGCATGAAAAGGTCTTTCCCACTATAATGCTCATGATACAATTACCAACAAGAAATAACTAACCTGAATGATGTCACATTCTTTAGTCCAACCAGGTGTTTCAGCCCTTGTAGGTTAATGCCGCTGTTCCGCAAATCCAAGGAAAACTCCTTTGGGGATCTTTTTAAAATAAAATGCAGCACATAGACATCAGGGGGTGTAAGAAGAGTGCCCAGAAAAGAAAGTTCAGCCTTCAGCCTTAAAGCCACATGCTGCAAAAGATAGCTGTCCTGTGTTTCATAAACACAGTGGAGCAGCTCAAGCAGTTTTTCTGGATAGAGATCACTTATCTGTATTTTTTTAATATATTTTAAGAGCGTTTTCTGCTTCTTGGTTATGATTTTCATTACATGCTCATCTGAAAGAGAGCAGAGGTACGGATCATGCTGGAGGTACAATAACCCAGGCAAGAATCGAGGCACCAGATCTAACCAATTATGAGGCTTTTTCTTCCTGGCTGGTAGGGAAAGATACTTTGTGAGGCTTTTATCCTTGATGTCTTCTGCGAGCAACAGATGAAGTGCACTCAAAAAATTTTGGATAACGAAGTCTGAGAACGCACTCCCAAATTCTTCCTCCCCATTTCCCGAATGTTTTGGGAATGTAAATGGCAGTACTAAGCCATATTTCAGAGCAAACTCCTTAACTTCTTTAGAGGGAAAAAGACTGCTCTTCAGGGCATTTTGATTCTTTTCTCCAAGACACCAGGCTAGCTGAGCTAGTCTGGTAATGTGCTGTTGATTTCCTACGGCTGTCGCATCTGTTTGTGTGGGTGTCAGCTTTTGCTGAAGGTATTTTACAAAGAGGCTGGTAAGTGTTGGAGGCAGGTCTTTGTCTCCCATTTCAAACATCATTTCACAGAGAAAACAAATGAATCTACACATGACAGGGCTGTAGCAGTGACTGAACAGATATTGACAATCTGTGATTAATTTCACTGCGTCATCACTGTATGGTAGCCCTTCAAAATATCTGGCTATGTATAATTCTACCTGCTGTGGAGAGAACCCTATCATTTCAATAATCTTGTCCACTTTGGATAAATACTGATTAAATTTGTCCTTGGGTCTTGCTGTTAGCAATAAAGTACAGCCACTGAGTATCTTCTTCTGGAACAGCCCTGCAAATAGCTCCCTGATGCTGTACAGCTCCTTGTAAGACTGGCAGTCTGAGTAATGTGTAAAGCCATCATGATCCTGCAACTCTTCAAAACCATCGAAGATGAGGAGGACTTTATTGGGATTTTGCAGTATGTACTCGAAGACTTTGTCGCTTCCCTCTCGAGGTTTGACAAACAGCTCAAGAAGCAGGTCCTTCAAGCTGTATTGCTTCTCAGGCAGGCTCAGTCGTCTACACTCAAACCAAAAGACAAATTCAAACTGAGAAAACTTTCCATTGGACCAGTCTTGGCAGATCTTTTGAACAAGAATGCTTTTACCCATTCCTGCCTTTCCCAACACCACAATGATTTTGGTCTCTAGTTCTTTCCCTCCTAGGACTTGAAATATTTGGCTTCTTTCTATAGCTGCTTTTTCCTTCTCTTCTAAATTGTATATTACCAGCTCCTTCTCCATCACCTTGATGACATTTTTCCCACTCTTTGTTTCAGTTTGACCTTGCATGAGAGCCCCATCAATGTAAAAGTGATCAAGGGTTACTTCACGGTCCATGGCCATGAACTTGCACACATCTTGGAAATAATCCTTAAGTGATGTGCAGAAAGCTTCCACTGGCTCTAGAAAAACAAAAGCACAAGTGAGCTAAAGAATCAAGTATTTGAAAGGAAATATGGACTCAACACATCTAAAAGCTAAGTTATAATGCTCTTTAAATGCACCAACATTCTGGCCCCTGGCAGTTTTCAGAAAACATTTAGTTTCTAAAATATAGCAATGACTGAATTCCACTCAGAAAGTTTTGAACAGCTCCACAACTGTTGTACAAGACATTTTCCCCACAACAGACAACTTATTGGAGAGCAAAAACTGATGTTTTAGTTTTCCACAGAGTTTGCAAAGCAATTTAAGGTTAAAGGGGATTGAAACTCACTTGGTCTTTTGAGAATTTGTTCAGAAGGAACAACAGGAATTTGTGATATCTCATTGGACATTTCTTCTTCATCTGAAGGAAAACAAGTAATCAATTTGAGAAACAGACTCTTAAACATTCACTGATTTAACTTTTCCAATTTCAGCAATGTGACTAGTTAAATGGGGTAGAACCCTGCTACATAACAATTGATGTCCTAACTTATGGTGGAAATATTTGTCTATTTCAGTGATAAAAATGCACGCAAATCATGTTAAGGTATGACAGACAAAAGACAAGGAAATCCTTCAGATAAAGCAGACACTTCAGTCAGTATTCATCATTTGGCGAGGTTAATTATTGTAGCTATTACAATGTTACAGAAGAGCATGACTATTCTAATACCCTACATGGAGCAAGGCCGTGGAGAAACATTACAGCTCTGTTCATGAGACCCATCACCATCCCTTTCAAATATCAGCATTTTGGCTGGATTCATGTTCACACTTAAGACCTATTTATGTAATCAAAAGGAATAGTTTCAGAGTAATCACGCAATTGTAGTTAGAATTGAGTAGCTAGGTATTTAGGGTGAGCATTATATACAAGTAACATCCTTGTGAAAATTCAGTTGGGGGATTCACTCTGCATTATGTCATACATACAAAGTATTATAATAATAAAGTAGGGATATAGGGGTTTTTAAATAGGGTAGTATCTACCTGTAAGATCAGTCACAGCTGCAGTCTCTGGCATATAAGCAAATGGGCCAATGGAGGTGTTTTTGTCAGGAGGCCCCAAAATGCTTTGGACAGCCAAGTCCACTTGAGCTGAAATAATGCATTTGACAAATTATTTATACAGTTAATGAAATGGTTATCAGTATCATCTCTAAATGAAAGCAAAGAGTTAGCTGACAAAATACTAAGGAGGACTCTATGTCCACAGTATAGTTTTAGTTAAGTCAAAAATTCTGAGAAAGTCTTTCAACATGATCAAACAAACTATCCATTCAGGGAGTCAAATGCTGCCTCTAAAGGCACACTGGAGCCTCCATTAAAACAGATGGAAATTCCAGAAGTACATCCAAGAACTCCAATACTTTCTTACAGTGTTTTCTGAGTTGTGATGTCACATTGAACACAGCTGAGCGGGACAGAAATTCCTGTCAAATGAGTCAGTGCCTAGAAATAGCTTACATTTGTGAAAAGACAATCCCTAATAAAGACACGGAAAGGGTACATTTTAAAATGATTTAAGAATATTTTGTATTTTCCTGTTAGATTGGACAGCTAGAGGGACCTTTTCCCACTGATCCCTTTTCAGTAGAGGTGTTATACAATATTGTAAGAAACATCTTCTCTGGAATACACATTAACCATGGGCTTTGGTAAAGGCTCAGAAGGCCTTTTAATCTCAGGGTATGTCTACACTACCCGCTGGATCGGCGGGCAGTGATCAATCCAGCGGGGATTGATTTATCGCATCTAATCTAGACACGATAAATCGACCCCCAAGCGCTCTCCCGTTGACTCCTGTACTCCAGCTCGGCAAGAGGCGCAAGTAGAGTCGACAGGGGAGCAGCAGCAGTTGACTCACCACAGTGAAGACACCGTGGTAAGTCAATCTAAGTACGTTGACTTCAGCTACGTTATTCACGTAGCTGAAGTTGCGTAACTTAGATCGATTTCTCCCTCCCCCCAGTGTAGACCAGGCCTCAGTGTCAGAAGTTCTGCCCAGAGGTCATGAATAGACACCTAGGACAAACTCAGACCCAACGGGAAGTGGTGTCTTCCTACAGGCGCCAACGGAGCTGTACCCCTCATATCAGTCTGAGTTTGCCAGTTACTAACTCAACTGCCAGATTCTTTCCTTTGACATCACCTGTAGGGCTTGTCTACACAAACATGTAGTTTGTTGCATACTGGGGTATGACTCTAACCTGCAGAAGCCTGCTGTGCACTAACTATCTGTGTGGGCCCTGCTGACATGTACAAACAGTTCGTTAATGTGAGTCATGTTAGTAATGTTAGTGTGAGTCCTACCATGGCTTCAGAGGGGTAACTTCAATCTAATTACCTTAACAAAGAGACAGGTAAGGGGTTATTTGATCACAGTCTATAAGTACCTTCATGGAGAGCAGACATTTCATAACAGAGGGTTCTTCAATGTGGCAGACAAAGGTATAAAAAGACCCAATGGCTGGCAATTGAAGCTAGACAAATTCAGACTCGAAATAAGGCACAAATTAACAGTGAAGGTAATTAACCATTGGAACCACTTCTCTGTCACTGGCCATTTTAAAATTGAAATTGGATGTTTTTCTAAAAGATCTGCCCCAGTTCAAACAGGAATTAATTTAGGGAAGTCCTCTGGCCTGTATTATACAAGATGTCAGACTAAATGACCACAATGATCACTTCCGGCCCTATCGTCTATCAGTCTATGGAAAACTATACGAGGCTGCAGATCTTCTGTTGGGAGGCAGGAACTCTAGCTGTAGCATCTGGACAGTGGGGTAAACTAGCGACTGCTCCTTGGGACTCTACAGAGTAGAAAGCCCACCTGCACTTCCTGGTGTAGCCTATTAATGGGCTTTGCTTTCCAGGAGACAAGGAACTATGGCAGCAGCACAAGGAAACACCTTAGCTGCCCCCAGACATCAGAACCAACCTCAGTTAGCTCAATTTTCTGCAAGGGAATGGAGTTCACTGTTGAAGGGAGGCGTGGTGGCTGACTAGGAAAGGGTAAAGCAGAAGATTAGGTAGTGAGTAGGAACTGAATGCAGGAATGGATTAAACACAATTATGGGGAAGGTTGGAAGGAGGCAGTGAGTGAATGGGAGGGGTTAAAGGACTAATCAGGAGCAAATAAATAAAAATAAGAGAATGGAAAATCTAAGGGAGTCGATAGCCAGGCATATAGAGAAGCATTAAGTAGTAATAAGGCAAAACTGAATAGCAAAATTGAGGGAAAGCAAATAAATAGTTGTCATGCTGCCTCCTTCTCTGCTCCTGGGTCAGCATGTTTTCCAGTTGGACTGGAAGCTCAAGGAAAGGACTCATCTTAGGATGGAAAATGCCTGATTTATTTTGATGTGCTGTATAAATTAACAAAAATGAGTGGGTGCAATTGGTGAGCCCACAAAAATGTGTGTGTAACCTTTACGATTACTTCCACAGAAACCTGAAGGTATTTATGGATCCATCCACTGGGTCACCTTCAAAAATTTCACCTTCCTCTTAGGTGCTTTTAGCTGTATAAACAGCCACTAGGGGGCAACCACACCTACTGTAACTAAGCAGCAATAGCAGCAGTCAACAATGGAGATACCCTCTAGGCACCAAAGCCTGGAAGTAAACACACAACCAAAAACTTACAGCAGAGCTCCCTGGACTAACGAACAATGAGGGGGAAAGTTTCTGAGAGCAGACTGCTACTGCAGCTGGGAACTATTTACAGACTTTCTTTTGTTTATTATGAACCAATTTCTGTATCTGTTGTTTGACTTTTCAATCAGACTTTGGAGAAAAACCTTTTAGTAAAAGAGGGCTGGCTTTTCTGTGTTGTTGCTATTGTTTTTGTTGGACCATGTTAACTGCCAGGTAACTTACAGCCCAGTAAAGCAGTTAGTGTATAAAGCACCAACACAGTTTCTGATCTTGATGGTGATGGCATAAGCGTTAAAGCATGATTCTATAACCATTTTGGAAAGGTTAAAGTGCAGGACTTCGGGGGGTAATGCAAAGGATATGGCCACTTCTGGACACACACGACTCCATAGCTCTAATGCTTGACTAAACAGACAGTTCTGCCTAGTGCCCTGGATTAGACTGAGCTGTTAGGGAAAGGACTGTCAGCAACATTAACAAATGCAGGTAATTTGTTATAAGAAAAACGTGAGCAAAGTGTGCAGGAAAAACTGGTGTCTGTGTACATAAAAACAATCTACTGTCTATGTTGTTACCCTTTCAGAGATACTGGACAGCAGAAAAGCCATCCTGCACTTACCAGCCAGAGTTGTGGGGAAAACTGGTGATATCTGTAATGTTTCAGTGGGGGAGGAGGACACTAGAAATAAAAAAAGCAAGTTAATAGCTTTCTCTGTACAGCTACAAACAAATGTGATGAAGATCTATGGTGCTTTATTGGTAGAAATGATTTTACTTTCTGTCTCTGAAAAATGGCTGAAACACTACTGCATAACTCACCTGGATATATTATAATATTGGATGCACCATTCCCTACAGGCAAATTAATTATCTGCTGAGGAAGAACTGCAAAGCTGGATATCACTTGGATCCCTTTAGCACCAACAAGCAGACAGTCGGGGTTGGAATTTCCAGAAGACACTGGAATTAAGAGTAATAGAGTTACTCAATTTTTAAGCACCTCGATTCCTAATATCAGGGGGTAGCAGTGTTAGTCTGTATCTACAAAAACAACAAGGAGTCTGGTGGCACCTTAAAGACTAACAGATTTATTTGGGCATAAGCTTTCGTGAGTAAGTGCCTCACTTCTTCGGATG